GATAACAGCAGGGAAGAATCTATTGGTACATGCTTTCAAATTTTTGTATCTACTGTCTGACTGAAAAGGGTGGAAGAGAGTACAACTGATGGGAAGGGTCTTTGATTATGTTAGCTGGTTTCCTGAGGCAGTGGGAAATACAGACAGAGTCAATGGATGGGAGGCTGGTTTGCGTGATGGATTGAGCTGTATTCAAAACTCTAATTTCTTGCGGTCTTGGACGGAGCAGTTGCCGTACTGAGTGGCTTATGAGCAGTTATGAGTCAACCATATTTCTGTTCATCTGGAGTCACATGTAAGGATGACCGTTTTACTTCCCTGAACGACATTAGTGAACCAGGTGGGTTGTTGCAACAATTGACGATGGTTTTATGGTCATTATTACATTTTTAATTTCAGATTTTTATTGAATTTAAACTTCACTGTCTCCTGTGATGAGATTCAAATCTCGATCCCCAGAACATTTCCTCAGTCTCTGGATTATTATTCTAGCAACACCCCCACTAGGTATCACATCCGATCACCTTGCATATGGTGTGTCATAATCCTGAGTTACATAAACCTTGAGGACCTGTTCTTTATTTTAGTTCCTACTTTGTGTTTGCTGAACAGTGCCTTGTAGGAATCTGGTAATTTCACTGGAGCACCACTGTAGCAGCCACAGAAGGAATTGATCCCATTGTGTTAGGATTTGTTTAAATTTTATGTAAAACCTGTTGGAAGTATTGCATAGTTCTATGAAATACATATTCTGTTCAGTTTTCTTGTTTGAACCTTGTAAAGGCTTGTTTCTCTCACGTGGAGTTGAGTTGCAAAGGCTGGACCTTAATCGGTTACCAATATTGGTATTGAATTTTTGGCTGCAATTCAGTCGTCATTTGACATTTAATATTCTGGAAAAAGTGAAGTAGTCTTTTATATGCATGGTTCTGTCATCTTTTTAATGCCATATGTTTTATAAACCAGAATACAAGCTTTTTACCAACAATTCCTTTGCCATTTTTGTTTGAATTGCTGATTATGATGGATGAAAAAGAAGAAACCAGAATGAGCGAGACTATTGGATTCTTACAGCTGAATATTCCTGCAGACCGATGGATATGAATTAAGAGGAAAATGCTGAAAATACTCAGCATGCCTGGCAGGATCTGTGGAGAGAGAAACAGAATTCACACTGCAGATCAGCAGCTCTTTTGTCAGAACTGGGAATAGAACATAGAACATCGAACGGTACAGCACAGTACAGGCCCTTCGGCCCACAATGTTGTGCCGAACTTTTACCCTAAACCTAAGGTCTATCTAACCTCCACTCGTACCTTATACTATCATCCATATGCCTATCTAATAGCCGCTTAAATGTCCCTAATGAGGCCGACTCCACTACCCGCTCCGGCAATGCATTCCACGCCCCTACTACTCTGAGTAAAGAACCTACCTCAGACGTCTCCCCTATATGTACCTCCACCCACTTTAAAACTATGCACCCTCATAATAGCTACCTCCACCCTCGGAAAAAGTCTCTGGCTGGCCACTCTATCTATACTTCTGATCATTTTGTACACCTCTATCAAGTCACCTCTCATCCTTCGTCGTTCTAAAGAGAAAAGCCCTAGCGCTCTCAACATTTCCTCGTAAGACCTTCCCTCCATTCCAGGCAACATCCTGGTAAATCTCCTCTGCACCTTTTCCAATGCTTCCACATCTTTCCTGTAATGAGGCGACCAGAACTGGACACAATACTCCAGATGTGGCCAAACCAGGGTTTTGTATAGCTGGAGCGTAACTTCACGGCTCTTGAACTCGATCCCTCTATTAATGAAAGCTAACACATCGTACGCCGCCTTAACAATTCTATCCACCTGGGTGGCAGCTTTCAGGGAACTGCGGAACTTGCTAATCCACCCTTCCACTCCTTCATCTAAATCATTTACAAAAATCACAAATAGAAGAGGACCCAGAACCGATCCTTGTGGTACACCACTCGTAACTGAGCACCATGTTGAATATTTTCCGTCCACTACCACCCTTTGTCTTCTACGGGTCAGCCAATTCTGAATCCAACCTGCCACATTTCCCCCTATCCCATGCCTCCTTACTTTCTGCATGAGCCTACCATGGGGAACCTTATCCAAACGCCTTACTTAAATCCATGTATACCACATCCACTGCTCCACCTTCATCCATGTGTTTGGTAACCTCTTCAAAGAATTCAATAAGGTTTGTGAGGCATGATCTACCCCTCACAAAGCAGAATACTTGGCATTGAATCACTTTATAGGTTTTAAAGCAAGATAGGGCAAGTAGGGGGTGGGAAGTTGAAGCATTCTGAAGAACAAATGGGAAGCTGGGTATTAGGGTGTAACGCAGGTGAAAGTAAATGACAAAAGGAAAGGCAAAATGTGGTAATGGGACAAGTAATGAAGCAAAGGTGTGTCTTGACGTACAAATGTGAAAAGCAGAATCTGTATTGAAGCTGCTATCTGACAAAAAAGGGGCAGGGTTATAAAATTGTTGCATTCAGTCTTGAGCCCAGAAGGCTACACAGTGCTGTTTTCATTTTCAAAGTCTCATTCGTATTTTTACAAGTTTCCATGGCCCCGATTCTGATCTCTGTAATCTTGTCTAGCTCCATAACCCTCCGATATCTGCGCTCCTTAACTTTTAGCCTCTGGAGTATCCCAGCTTTACTCATCATTGGTGGGCCTGCCTTCAATTGATTGGGACCTGTACTGCTTCACTTATCTGCTCTTTTAAGCTACTCCGTGATACCTGCCTTTTTGGCCAAGTTTTTAGTCATCAGTCTCTAATGTTTTAATGAAGATCTGTAGCTCGGCTTGCGGTTGAAGTTGTTGGTTGGTTCGCCGAGCTGACTGGTTTTCGTGCAAATGTTTCATCTCCCTTCTAGGTAGCGTCGTCAGTGCTGTGTAGCCTCCGTTGAAGCGATTGCATTGGTAGTTGAAATCCAGGCCTCCAGGAATTCTCGTGCTTGTCTTTGGCTTGCTTGTCCTAGGACTCTAACTTTGTCCCAGTCGAATCGATGTCCTTCTATGTCGGAGTGGGTTGAAACGAGGGAGACTTGGTTTTGTCGTTTTGTTGCGAGTTGGTGTTGGTGTTCGTGTATCCTGGTGCCGAGTTTCCTGCCTGTCTATCCTATATTGTGTTTCTCGCAGTTGCTGCATGGTATTTTGTATATCACATTTGTCCTGCTCATTGGCAGTATGGGGTCTTTCGTCTTTGAGAGTAACTGACGAAGTGTGGCTGTTGGTTTGTGTGCTATACTTATTCCAAGAGATCGTAGGAGTCTTGTAGTCGGTTCTGATGTGTTTCTAACATAGGGTAGGGATGGCCAGTGTGTTGGGGCATACAGTGTCTTGGTATTGTTTTCCAGGCATTGGCAGCCGAAGCTGTTAGGATAACCATTGTTTGCAAAGACTCTGTTGGTGTTCCTCTTCATTTTTGTGCAGCTCCAGGGTGTTGCAGTGAGTTATCACTCATTTAAACAGAGTCTTGACACAGCTCTGTTTGTGGACTCTGGGGTGGTTACTGTTGTAATTCAGGATTTGGTCTGTGTGTGTAGTCTCTGTATACGCTGGTAAGGAATTTCCCATTGTTCATTCGTTCCACTATTACTGGAGTTGATTGTTCTCCTCTTCCCTGATGAACTTGATCCTGGTGTATATGCTGTTAATAAGATGGTGTGTTTCTTCTAACTTTGCTTGATCACAAAGGTATCGTCCACGTATCTAACCCATAGTTTAGGCTGGATCTGGGGGAGGGCTGTGCGCGCCAGTCTTTTCATAACAGCTTCTGCTGTGAACCCATGGGTGTTCCATTAATTTGTTCATATACCTGGCCATTGAAAACGACCAGTTACTCTCAAAGATGAAAGACCCCATACCCGCAATGAGCAGGACAAATATGATGTACAAAATACCATGCAGCAACTGTGAGAAATACTACATAGGACAGACGGCAGGGAACCTGTCACCAGGATACTTGAACACCAATTCACAGCAAAACGGCACGACCAATTCTCCCTTGTTTCAATGCACTCCAACATAGAAGGACATCAATTTAACTGGAACAAAGTTACAGTACTAGGACAATCAAGACAAAGACAAGCATGAGAATTCGTGGAGGCCTGGTTTTCATCCACCGATGCAATTAATAAACATGTTGAAATAGACCCCAACTACATAACGGAACGGTACAAAACCAGAAAGAAGACTGCCCACTTTGACAGACTGGACTATGTAAATTCAGAGCGGGCCAGAACAAGCTCTTCAACGGAGGCTACACAGCACTGACGATGTCACCTAGAAGGGAGATGAAAAGTTTGCACAAAAACCAGTCAGCTTGGCAAACCAACCAACAACTTCATCTGAAGCAATTTCTGAAGAAGGGTCCCAACCCCAAACATCAGCTTTCCTGCTCCTCTGATGCTGCCTGGTCTGCTGTGCTCCTCCAGCTCCACACTTTTATCTCTGACTCCAGCATCAGCAGTTCTCCCTATCTGTCAAACAACCCCACAAAGGCTGGTATCCTGTCACCAAGTCACCATTTACTTACACCTGCATAGTACTTGGTACTGGTCTGGCTTCCTTTTGAGCCAGCTCCCAGAGTGAGCAGAACCCCTGACACTCTATTTATATCTGTCAGCCAGGGCTCCCTGATTGGGACTGTTAATTTGGTCCAATCAGGGAACTCATTCTGCAGTTCATCTGACTGACCTCTTCCCAATTGCTACAATATGGTTCTGTCATGCTTCTGTAAAATGGCTTGAGATCTTTTAGTAAATCCAGTGTGACATATGAATATGTAAGTTATTGTTGAATTGAAGGACTGTTCTATCTCAATACTCCTAGAGGTATCTGTTTGTATTTATGATTTCCAGCATCTCTAGTACTCAGCTCTTGAAATAGATGTAAAGTTGGATTTGCTCAGTTAGTACAATAACTTGTGTTTTAACAACTTTGTGTCATAAATGCTGATTCTTTCAGGAAGCAGTTCACGTTTTGATCAAGCATTCAGCAGATGTCAATGCTCGTGACAAAAACTGGCAGACCCCATTGCATGTAGCTGCTGCAAACAAGGCAGTGAAGTGTGCAGAAGCAATCATTCCACTGCTTAGCAGTGTCAATGTTTCCGATAGAGGAGGCAGGACAGCCTTGCATCATGCTGCACTCAACGGACATATAGAGGTAATAAAATATTCCTGCTATTGTATGTTTTTGCAGGTTTATGCTTTGAAATAAGTGTTTCTGCTATAATCAATAAGACAGGTTTTCAAGCCTGTTCCAGATAAAATGCTGACTGCATTGTCAAATCTTAATGATCAGTGTAATTAACCAAGAATATAGGGTGCACTGGTTGATGCTGTTGCAGGGTAAGTTGAAAATCCAGTTGAATGGAGGATTACACTGACAATGGGATTCGAAAAAGGGAATAGAAAACATCTAGTCAGGAATAAGAAACTGTGAGCATGAGTCTTTATAAATATGAAAATGAAAGGAGGAAGGTTGGTTGAAGGTTCAACTATAATGAAGAACCTGCAATTTGTAAATAGTAAATCCACAATTAACTACAATTGCTAATGACTTGCGCCTGAATTTCCTGATTTACACTGTGCCCAACATTACCATTATTGCTTGGTGGCCTATAAAAGATTTCCTTGAGTATTTGCCGCCCCTTGCCATTTCCTAGCTTCACTCAAACTGATTCAACGTTATGATCCTGCAATCTAAGGTTCTCTCTCGCTAACGTGCTGATATTATCTCTTAGTAGCAGTACCACCCATTATTTCCTTTTTGCAAATCCTTTCTACGTGACAAAAATCCTTGAATGTTCAGTTCTCAGTCTTAATCATACTGGAACCACATCTCTATAATGCTAATTAAATGATATCTATTTAGCTTTATTTGTGCCTTAAAACCACTTATTTTGTGAATTCTGCGTCCATTCAGATGGAGTGCCCTTAACTTTGTCCTTTTTAACATTATTCTATGTTATGATCCTATTTCATGCTTGCCTTCACACTGTCAGCCCTCTAATTTTGATTGCTACTTTTCTATTTTTATTTACTTCCATCCAATCTGAGCTTCCTGTCCAATTCCCACCCAGCTAACAGTCTAGTTTAATCCCTCGCAAACTACTGTGCTCACTAGCACCTTGTGCTCGTAGTAATCTTGAAGTTACTGCTTCAGAATTCTACTTTTGGGTCTCTTTTATAACTCTCTAAAATCTGCTTTCAGGACCCCATTCCTTTTCCTGCCTGTGTTGTTGGTTCCAATGTGGACCAAGAGCTCTGGCTGTTTGTTCTTCTCAGAAGAATGTCCTGCAGCTACTCTGTGACATCCTTGGTGCTGGCCAATAGAAGCAACATTCTGGAGTCATGTCCACAGCTGCAGAAATCCTCACATGGTCCTCCAGCTAACAAATCCCCTATCACCATTGTTCTTCTATTCTTCTCCCTCCTCTCTTATTCACCTAGACCAACTGTGGTGCCATGGATGTGACTCTGACTGCTCTAAGGAACCCACACTGGTATCCAAAATGGAAAACCAATTAGGGAGCTAGATTGTCACAAGTAACATCTGCATAACCTGCTTGGTTTTTTTCAGACTGCCTGCTGGTTACCTATTTCCTCTCTGCCTGTAATTTCCTAACAAAAGGTAGCCCCTGAAATTTAAAAGGTAATCCTGGACAAAATCTCTCAGAACCCTTTGAGACAATGGACAGGTACTTGATTGACGCAATGTGATTAGTGGTACCCTGCAAACATCTTTGATTGACCTCAACTGTTCAATTTATTACAAATAACTGAAATGATCAGTTAAAAAGCCACAAATTCAAATTTGCTGATGGTACAAAAGTTTGGTAGTATTGGTAGATTAATTGATAGAAAAGTTTTAAAATTGGATTTTAGTGTAGGCAAATGTGATACCATTTGAAATGAATAGATCAAAAAACAATGAACCTAGCAAAAGCTGATAATGATTGCTGTCCGAAGATGCTTTTAGGTGTCCACATATGTAAATCATTAAACTGTCATGGACAAATACAGAAAGTAATCAAAAATAACAGCTAGTTTTTATATCTAGTATTTCCTCAAATTTACAAGGTTAAGCTGTGATTTGACTTTAGGTGTTGGTGTTATCATGAACAGACAGTGTAGATTGGAAGAAACTGTTTCTTCTGCTTGCTACGTCTGAATGTAACAGCTGAATGTCACTGTGAACTTCCCACTGGTTGGAATGATGATAGTTGTCATTAAGCTATGTGATCAAAATAATGCAAACCTATTTTGCACATGAAGTTCTGCTAGTGGTAAACCACTGAAAATAGAGTATTTATATAATGTTTACTGAAATCCTTTGCATGTATACTTTTCTTTGATATTTGAAGCATTTTTTTTATGTCAGTGCATCATGTATCTCTTTTTGGAGGGAAATTTTGTAGAAGTTTACATTTTTTTGCAGCAATGAGGTGATGCAACTAGTAGATAGTACAGTGACATTTGCAAGTTTTCACCTTCTGCATTTCCTTACCCTCATTCCCCTTTCAAATTTGAAATGTGTATCTGTTATGCCAACTGTTACTTCGGAAAGTTTATTTTCATTAGATCAACCTTGTGGTGAAATTCCAATCCAAAAGATGAACTAATTATGAATTTTTGAATTTTTAAAACTTTTATGGATCATTTATTTTCTTTCTTCACTCCTTCAAGATGGTAAATCTTCTATTAGCAAAAGGGGCCAATATTAATGCTTTTGATAAGAAGGACAGAAGGGCCTTGCACTGGGCAGCTTACATGGGTAAGTCATGTTATGTTCAGAGTTTCTCATTGAGTGGTTAGATTGGTTAGACAATATTTTACCTACAAATGAACTGCTAATGTAACAAGTATCATCTGTGGGTAAAAGATATAAATGTTTTCTGATCTGGTTTGATGTCTTTCCATTCAATTTTGTCCTTTTTTATGAATGTTTGCATGAATTCTGCTACTTGTTTGATTGCCTGGATTGAAGTGCAGGAAGGCATAGCACATTTCCAGAATTTTGTTTCGTTTTCTGGGGAGGCGTATGATATTTAAAGTATAAACTTGAATAACCGTAACGTTTATATAAATGTTCGTAGAGAATCATAGAATCCCTACAGTGTGGAAACAGGCCCTTTGGCCCAACAAGTCCACACTGACCCTCAGAGCATCCCACCCAGACCCATCCCCCATAACCCACCTAATGAACACTATGGACAATTTATTTTGGAACTGTAATGGAAATCTTATCATCGCGTGGATGTATACAGCTACAGGAACAAGGAGCTTGACACCAGTCAGGATTAAGCAGTTCACTTAATCAGCACCTCCTCTTTTAGCCTAAGTATTCACCTCCTTCAGAGCTCATGTATCATGACTACAAGGTGAATCATCTATCATCATTATGTACTGACACAATTTGTCAAGGTTATTCTGGACCTCCCGAATCCACAACTTTTACGTTAGAATGACCAGGGCAGAAGGTGTATGGGAACACATCACCTCCAATTGCCATACCATTTTGGTATACTTACATATTATCGCGACACGCGATCAAAATTCTAAAACACCCCTAGCTGATAAAATGGTCAACTTGTCTACATCCCCCAGCTGCAGTAATTCCTCAAATTCCATTACAGTTTTCTAAGGCCAGCTAGGGATGCAAGAAGTACTATGCTTGCCAAAACTAACTATCTCCTAAGAATTATCAAAATAAAACAAAAACTAATACTTACTGTGCAGTAAGCCCTTCATCTATCTTTCTGTCCAATGGATTTGATTAATAGTCTATTTAAAATCAGAAATTCAAAATAAAACTAATGTCTAGACTTAATGAATGTTGAGGGTTCACCATATTATCCATTCTCCATGTAAAGATTATGAATTTCAATCAATGTATAATGTGGAATTTTTTTTATTGTAGGTCATGTTGAAGTAGTTTCTTTGTTATTGAGTCATGGAGCAGAAGTTAGTTCCAAGGATAAAAAAGGTTATACCTCACTACATGCAGCTGCTTCTAATGGACAAATTAATGTGGTGAAACTACTGATTAGTCTTGCTGTAGAGGTAAGTTTTGCATTCTTGCCAAATGAATGGAGCAAATACTTTTTCTCCTGAAAAAGTACAAAGAAAATGTGTACATTTTAAATAGATCAGGAGCCAACTAGTGAACAGAAACAGAAGGCAACATGCATTTCTGGTTCTGGTGTGTGTCTTCTTTCCAAAAAGCATTAGCATGGTTCCCTGGTGGTATACTGTGAGAAGGTAATTGGTTTGGAAATTTGAGCATAGGATCCAGTCTTAAATTTCAGCACAGTGCCGAAGAAACGTTGCCTGATTGGAAGTGTTGTCTTTTGCATGAGATGTTAAACTGAGGGCCTCACCTGTCTGTTCAGATGGATGTAAACAAAAATATCTAATACTGTTGGAAGAACAACAGTGGCATTTGTCTCGTGCCTGATCTAATATTTATCTGTAAACTAGAATTAATTGGTATATTACTGCCATGTGAAATTGGTTGCTAAATGCAGAGAATGAACTTCAAAATAAATAAGTGGCTGTGGAGCAGTTCAATGCGTCCTGAGTATATGAAAAGGTTGACATAAATTTTTATATAAAGCCTTTTAAACAACTAATAATTTTATTAAAACTCTGTCAAGGAGTAGGTGTGCAGTTTTTCGGTGAGTGAAGTAAAAACAAACTGACGTGTCATTTGGAGGAGGGATTGTTGTATGTCGTGATTCAGTGGCGTAGTGTGTTGGAAATCAAATCCCGCAATTCCTAGATTCGTCGCAGAAATTAGATTTTAAACCAGATCCCTAATTTATCCAATTTTAAGATTAAGGTTGATAGAAGCACAGAACAGGTTTTTGTACTGAACAAGAATTGTTAATTGTTACAGGTAATTAGACTATAGCTACAGGTAAACATTTATAAACAGTCAGTATATAACTCTTCTGATTAAAATGCTAATCCCCTTGTGAATTCCCCCCTTCACACACAGATTGATGTGCAAATGTGAAAAAGCACATGGATGAATGGGAAAAACTAGAAAGACGGTAATTTTTGTCCACAAATTCTATTGAGCTGGTTCTCGTAGATCGAAAAGTTTATTTCTGGCTTCCCATTTTTTGAATGCTTCCACTGGTTTGCACGAGGCTTAGTGGCTGTTTCTGTTGTAAAATGTCTCTGATTTATACATTAAAAGGCAAAGCTTGCAGCAACTGCTGAAGCAAAGATGATCTGGTTTGCTTCAGGTTTAAGATGAGTTTTGGCTACAGAGACAGAGCACCTGAGCTCACGGAAATCAAACTTCTTTTTATCTTGTTCCCTGCTCCATGCTGTTCGGTTGTCTGATAACCAGTCACATAGTTGTTGGATTCTTTTGTCATTGATTCATGGACTAGTGACTAGTTATCAATCAACTTTTTATTGCCAACCAGAGCTTCATCTGAATACAGAGCCTCTCGGTCCCTGTTAGTCTACTGTCACTTCAGTTACTGCTTGTTTACACATTTGTTTACGTTGCTTACCATGGGTGTCGGGTAACTTGCTTTTCAAAACTTGCAGCTGTCCTTTCAGAACACTGGTATTAAAACAGTTCTTTCCCATTTCAGTCCACAACTTTAAAACAGTAATGCAAAAATAGAGTCATGTTCTTACATGTACTAAATAACAGATGGTATTGAAATTGGAAAATTAATAGCAATGGAAGGTGTTGTTGCCTAGTCTTCATTAATCTGACTCCCATTGCTGATGTTGACAGACATTAATATGAACTTAAAATCACATCTTCACTGATTTCAGTGAAGATATTTCATTTGTACATCTTAAGAATTATGTTGGTCATAATTAATCACCAAAAAATAAGAGCCTAGCTGAAAATGAGAATTTTGTTGAGGGGCTGTATATTTGTCAAAATATTTGGCAATGGTTTCATGTTCCAGTCTCTGAAACTGGCTACTCTAAATCTTTTGAGTTATTCTGGTTCAGTGGAATCTTTAGGAAGCTTTGGGAATCTCCATAACATTTTGAGATATTGAAAATAAGTACTGTTATGGATACAGTAATTGGCTGGTTTTACATCATTAGTTTCCTAGTAATGATGTTGGAGATACCCAGCTTTTTTATTGGTGTCTGTACATAAGACAGAAGATAGTAACTTAACTTGTGTTAACAAATCAAAAGAGTAGAATAAACCCACAGATCTTAAAAAATGTAATTTAAGGAACCTGATTTTTAAACAAATATCAGTTCACATATAGGCTGTACACATTAAAAATAAAGAATCCATATATGGCTGAAGGAAGACATTTATGTAAAAATAAGCTTGATATGAAATTGTATAATTTCAAGTTTTCTTCCTTTAATGTACACTTATGTTAAAAAAAAAAAAAATCAAGACCTGGTCTGAATCTGATCAGGCATGCTATCAATACAACATTGTGACTAGTTATTGTGTGCCAAAATTAACATTGTGACTTTTTTCTCTGTTATTCATTCATATTGTCTTAGTCAGGTATTAATTTCAACTTAAGCATGTTGAGCTATTTCTCCAAATAGGACGTTTTGTATAAATTTAATGTTAATTTTAGATTAAAAGAGGCCACAAAATTTCTGTTTAAGACAATTACGATTTAGTTTGATTGCACATACAATGCCAAACACGTTTTCTACATTTATGCACAATTCACTTTCTATGGCAGATTGATGAACCGAATTTATATGGAAATACAGCTCTCCATATTGCTTGTTACAATGGACAAGATACTGTGGTCAATGAACTTATTGACTATGGTGCTAATGTGAATCAACCCAACAACAAGGGATTTACACCTTTGCACTTTGCTGCTGCTTCAACCCATGGTGCTTTGTGTCTTGAACTATTAGTAAATAATGGAGCAGATGTCAACTTCCAGGTAAATGTAAATTTTTATAACTTTTTAAAGGAAGTTATTTTTAATATGGCAGTTATTTTCAGGGTAGATAAACTGTTCCATAGATACAAAGTCAAGTCTTTGTATATTTTCAAGGTAAGAGTCTAATTTAATCTGTAAATACTCGTAATAACTCGACCTAACCTATCGCAGCTCCTATATGTCTCTGCCAGTTGATGAAGACTGATAATTACGCAGCACTACTTAACAGTGGAGACTGGTACTCTCCTTTACTCCTAAATGATATCTATGAAGAAATTTGAATACATTTTGAGTTTGTTTTACCTTTTCTCAAAAGAACTACAATTCCAAGGCTCTATTGATGGCTCATTTGGTCAAGTCTGTATGTAGCTGAGTTGTACAGACTAGGTTTGCCTTTCTGAATTAATTTAATTGACCTCTACATCAATAACATGCCTAATTTTCCTTTTGATATTTTGACATGATTAGGGACAATTAACATTCAAAGAGAAATTCAAAAGCCTAGGCACATGGATGATATTATAATGTAGAATATGCAGGGTAGATTGATCTTAGTAGGATAATAGGTCGGCACAACATCGTGTGCCGAAGGGCCTGTACTGTGCTGTACTGTTCTATGTTCTCATTTTAAACAACAAAACAATGCCACTCATTTAAAACAAAAAAAACTTTATATAAATAAAGAAACTAACTAAAACATCTAATAGTAACTTAAATATGTTTATATTAACATATTGTTATTCACTCTGGTTTACTACGTCTCCTAAGAATTCACTTAAGTATTTTTCCACGTTATGACATACCTCGGCTACAAGCAGGACTTGAACGTGGACTGACTGGTTAGGAGGAAGGGACAATACCTCTGTACCACAAGACCCTCAGAATTCTCTCAGAAGATGCACCAATCATAGTTATTTATTTCTTTTGGGATCACCGTAGTAATGCCACAGACTTGTGCAAGATTTTCCTCAGCTTTACTTTCAAGGGTGAAATTTTCTTGTGCCATCTTTTGTGGATGCTTCAATGTCTTGTTCTGGTCAGATTGACTGCCCTTGAAATCAATACCAAATTTGACCAAGTGTGCCATTAAGGAGCTGCATAGAATCCCTACAGTGTGGAAACAGGCCATTTGGCCCAACAAGTCTTCACTGACTCTTCAAAGAGCATTCCATCCAGACTCACCGCCCTTACCCTATCCCTGTAACCCTGCATTTCCCATGGCTAATCCACCTAACCAACACATCCCTGGACAGTAAGGGGAATTTAGCATGGCCAATTCACCTAACCTGCATATCTTTGGACTGTGGGAGGAAACTGGAGCACCCGGAGGAAACCACAGCACACCATCTCTCAAGGGCAACTAGGGAATAAATGCTGGCCCAGTCAGCTTTGTCAATATCCCATGAATGAATAGAGAAGAAACTTCCAAGGTAAAATGTTTTTGTTACTTTTTTTTTGCCATAAACTCAATGGGGGACCACTATAGATTATTCCACTTGTTTCAAACTGTGCAATCTCTCAGCTTCTGTTCCCTTACCAAAGTTAAATTGAGATTGAGCCTCATCTGCTACTCACCTGTTAAGACAGCATTAGTTTTTAACTCTATTCTCAGCATGGGCCTAGCTGTTATTTATTTTGACTATCTCTTGTGAGCTACAAACTGTACCAGCTATAAACTGCTATTAACTCTCAGCACATACTCAGATAAATTGAGTCAGAGTTTTACAGTACAGCTATTTCTCCTATAATGTGATAGTTGCATTCTTGTCTGACCTCAAAATCGTGGTACAGGGAAATTGCTATACCTGTACAAGCAGTGTCAGCTATTCATCATTCACATTATAGCCAATTCGTGTTAATGAAACACGCATTATAGTGGAAATACCTGTATGATAAGAGGCCCTTCAGTCTATTTTCTTTGCATAAGTCATCAAGCATCAAGCACTTAAGACCATTTTCCAGCACTTGGCCAATAGCCTTGTGCTATGGTGCTTCAAATGATTGTCCAAATACTTTTCAAATGTTGCGATGGTTCCTGCTTTACCATTTCTTCTAGATATCCAGAATTCTATGACAATGAAGCTAGTTCTAATATCTATCACACTCTGGGTGGGGAAAAAAATGGTTAAATTCCTCGGAACTTCCTGCACTTTACTTTCAATCAGTACCCCAGTTATTGATCCCTCTTCTAAGGGAAAACATTTTTTTCTTATCAACTCTATGCTCCTCAATTTTTTACATCTCCAGTTAGGTTCCCCTCAGCCTCCTTTGCTCCAAGGATAACAACCCCAGCCTAACAAGCCTCTCAACATAGCTGAAATGCTCCAACTCAGCTAACAAGCTGGTGAATCGCTTCTGCACCTTCTCAAGGGCAGTCACATCCTTCTTATAATATGATAACCACGCTGCACTCAATACACCAGCTGTAGCCAGACTAAGTTCTTGTTTGTCTCCATCATAACATCCCTGTTCTTGTATTCAATGCCTTGACTAATAAAACAAATAAATGGGTCTCTTTTGATATAATGGCACTGTTCCAACCTCTGCATCAAGAGGCCCAAGTTCAAGTCCCACCTGCACCAGCCAGGTTTTCTAATTTTCTACTAACATTAGAAAAATATCTAGAGGCATTGTGATGCATTGATAATGTGCTTTGCCACATAAATCTGAAGTAGTAGAGAGTAGTAAGGGCGTGGAATGCCCTGCCTGCAAAAGTAGTAGACTCGCCAACTTTAAGGGCATTTAAATGGTCATTGGATAAACATATGGATGATAATGGAATAGTTTAGGTTAGATGGGCTTCAGATTGGTTTCACAGGTCGGCGCAACATCGAGGGCCAAAGGGCCTGTACTGCGCTGTAATGTTCTATGTTCTATGTTCTAAAAAAGCAAGTATCTCATATTCTGCCTTAACTACCTTATCCACTGATCCTGTTGTCTTCAAGGATCTGTAGGGATGCACACAAAAGTACCTGCGTAATTCATAGGGTCCCATCATTCGTTATGTACTCCCTTGCTTTATTAGACTTCCCAAAATGCATTATCTCGTGCTTTGCAGGAGTAAATTCCATTTGCTATTGTTCTGCCTGTCCAAATAGCCCATCTATGTTGTCCTGCAGTCTAAGGCTTTCCTCCCCACTATTTACCACACCACCAATTTTTGTGTTATCTGCAAACTTTTAGATCAGACCTCTTAGATTCATGTCTAGGTCATTAATGAACACAACAAACAGCAAGAGCACCGACCCACTGGAAGCAGGCTTCCAGTACCAAAAACAATTTTTGGCCATCACCCTCTGCCACCAAACCAGTTTTGGATCAAATTTGTCCTGGATCCCATGCGATCTTAAATTTTTGACCAGCCTTTTAAACAAGAGGACTTTCCAAAGCTTCATCCAATTCTATGGTGATGTAACCTGCTCTGGGCTGTCCTCTCACCAACCATTTTGATTACATAATCTCAAAATGCATTGATGCAGACCTCGGTGCAAGATTGGAGAACTTGAAGCCTACGATAAGCCTTTTTTTTGGCTAGTTTACTGTGTGACAGCTGTTGAGTTGGCGAGCTGAATTAGCAGCTTCCTGAAGAAAAGCAAGCGTCAGGCCTAAGCAGAGTTTCTCATGGAAGGATGCTTTGTCCCCATTTTGTTCCTAAACAATATTTTATCTCTTCAAAATTCTATTAAATTATGCTTTTCAACTAAGACACAACACCATGCACAAGTACTAAATGATTATCACATTATCTGTGATCAGGCTCAGTAGTATAATTACTCAGAAAAGTTGGTGAAATATGTACTTTGTTATCTTTCAGAGTAAAGATGGCAAGAATCCGTTGCATATGACTGCTGTCCATGGTCGATTCACACGATCACAAACACTTATTCAAAATGGTATGCTTAATTTTTTTTCCACGCATTTTTCACAAATCATTGTACGTGTGACTTTTTTTGACTAAAATACAAATTTGAATATTGCATTTTGGAATTGTTTACATTCTTGATTTTTGGAGGTGAAACAAAATTGTAATCTTAATTTATTAAGCACGTAGCAGTTGAGGTCAGTACTGTTCTGCTGTTTACATCTTATATCGTTGAATTTTTGTTGTTCATAGTGTCAAATCATTTTTCCTAATTATATAAAGTTTCAGTAGGAATGAATAATTCCTGTTTATCACTGCACATGCTTTGGAATTTTCACTATTCCAAAATCAAAAGCATGTGTGATAGTGTCTAAAAACTGTTGAAGAATATCCCAAAGGGAAGCTCTCAAACAGAAATCAAAAAACACTTTATGCTATTGTGCATAGTGTCTCAAAAATAAGGTGTATGGTTAAAACTGTTTACACGTACGAGACAGATACTAAAATAGTTTTTGGAAAAGAAGATCTACGGTTGGAAAACTGCATTTCTGTTGTGTTTGTCTTTGGCTTGACATTCCTACTGGAAAATAAATAATTTAAGATTTTATTATGACCTATTACTGGAATACAGGTAGTTTTCCTATAACGCGATAGTTGCGTTCTTGTGTGACCTTGTGCTATAGAAGATTGTGTTATAGGGAAATAGCTGTAGAAAGTTACTATACCTGTACAGCTGAAAGTTCATGTTATCCAGAGTCCACTATTAATCAATTGCGTTACAGCCAATTTTCATTAACGAAATACGCGTTATAGCAGAACTACTTGTACCAGCCCAAATCTTCCGATTTGCGACTCACCTAAATATTGTTTGAACAACCCAGTTCTGTTTTGATGCCATTGATAAATTAGCAATGTTCTCAATGGTGTTTCTGTCATTCGTTTAGTGCAGCTGCTGAACACATGCAGTCTATTTCTAAAAAAAATTGTCACTACTCTCCTTCCATTACACACTCCCACTTCTTGCTTTCCTCTCTGATCCTTCTACTTGCTACCTCTACCAAGTGCCTCTCGTCTCTCACGCCTCCTGTTCACCCTGCCATTCTTCCATAGTCTCCTCCCGTGTTATTTGGGAGGGGGACATAGTGAGGAGGATTGGGGGAGAGGTGGCAAGGTGGAGGTGAATTGAAAGGGTTAATACTGTAATTTTATTAAGAGTTAAGAGAATTTTTGGGATCGTTAGTTTGAAGGCAGACAACTGATTTTTAATGTAAAAGTTGCAATCAGGATCATAACTCACCTGTGATAACCAGGTGTAGAGTTGGATGAACACAGCAGGCCAAGCAGCATCAGAAGAGCAGGAAAGTTGACATTTCGGGTCTAGACCCTTCTTCAGAAAATTTTTTTTTCTGAAGATGGGTCGAGACCCGAAACGTCAGCTTTCCTGCTCCTCTGATGCTGCTTGGCCTGCTGTGTTCATCCAGCTTTACACCTTGTTATCTCAGATTCTCCAGCATCGGCAGTTCCTACTATCTGATAACTCACCTGTGTTTTGTTAAATGGGAGAAAAGGATTTTCTTTCAGTTTTTGTTTTCGTTCAGCATATTTTTGAGGAATATGTTCGGTGTGCTGAACAAGTGATGGTTGTATACTTTGAAATTTGAAGGTGTTCAAGATCACTTCTTCATTAGAATAATCTTCCAGAAAACAACTAATTCATACCACACAGTTGGAGAGATTGCACTTGTATCTATCAAATAAGATCATCTTTTATTGGCTGCCATTGCAATGGTGGAAATTCCTATTCCTTTCAATTCCTGATAAACTTTAGTATACAATGAGTTTAGACTAACAGATGTTAGATTCACCTGACTACTCTTCTTTTTGAGGAATGACAAGACTGTCTGGTCTCATTTATCCTTCCAAGTTCTCTGGAAATCGATTGAAAATTTTTCATCTTTCTCTGTTCAAATCATTTAGTTCATCATTTAAATTATTGTCAGTGTAACGTAACCTCCTTGTAGCACCCACACCCCATTTTCAGTCAAACTGTTCTTATTCCAAGAATCTAAGCAGCTTGCTTTCAGTTGACACTGTTTCCTATGCTTAATCTGACATACATGCCAATGCACGCGTTTTTTTCCCTCCTGCTTCTCTCTGGAGACACAGCGGTCTTATCTGAAAATTACCCCTCACCCCAGGTGCGGTGCAAATTGGATATGGAATGGAGTGCATTTGAATAGAAGCAGAGCAGCAGCAAGGCAGTGAAGTTAGGATATAAATTTCTGATTGCTTGGTATATTGGTTATAGGTCTCACAACCATTGATTTGAGGAAAGTGGGGATATTTCATAGGTCAGATCTAAAAAATTGGAGGGGATTGCTATGATATAAGAATGAGTCAGATTCTCTGAGATAGAGGGATAAGGGTTACAGATGAATTTGAAAATGAGTATAGGTATTTCTAAGTTAACACAGTCGAGAAAAGATAACCAGTGGAGGTTGTCATGTCTGTAAATGTGGAACTAAACGTATTGAAAATTGCAGGGAAGCAGTAAACCTAGAGATGATCGAGCTGTAGATGAGCTAATGGGGTGAATGTTAGCAGGTGATCGTTGCAAGAGGAAAGACTGACCTTTATAACCTATATAATGGCACAGCACCAATACATTTGGTGCGGGTTATCTGTATAATTTGCAAATTACACCTCTTTTAAAAATGTTTTTTTTCCCCCTTGAAGGTGGTGAGATAGATTGTGTTGATAAAGATGGCAATACCCCTTTGCATGTGGCTGCCAGATATGGACATGAACTTTTGATTAATACTTTGATAACCAGCGGAGCTGAAACAGCAAAGTAAGTTTCTGAATGGCGGATTGCATTCCTCTTCAAATTTCTATTAACATCTCAATATTAACAAGTAGTCTTATTTGTCTGCTTGTTAACTTAGCATGTTGGTTTACTACAATATCAAACTGCAAAAAAAGTGCCAATTCATTTCCCTCCCCAGCTCCCAAGTAAATCGTATTTGTTAGAATTATAAGACTTAAAGACAATATTATTTCATTATGTCTGATTTTGTTTTCTTGAGAGAAAGCAAATTTCACTTTGGTCCTAAATCATTTAGTTACTTTATTAGGTAAATAGCTTCTCCATGAAGTCATTCAATTTAATTTCACACACCCACACACCAAATTCACTCCAAAATTTTCTGCTACCAGGATCTATCTTTGTTTTGAACGAAGAATTAAGGATTTTCATTGAGACGTGGTAAGATATAAGAAATATTCTATGTAGTTTTAGCTAGAATGAATATTGTTTGAAAAGTTGTTCAATGTTAGTTGCTTCTTAAAACAAACCTAGTTGTGTCAAATTATCTGAGATAACAAGGTGCAGAGCTGGATGAACACAGCAGGCCAAGCAGCATCAGAGGAGCAGGAAAGCTGACGTTTCGGGCCTAGACCCTGTGTCAAAGTATCTTACTGGCAGGCATTCTCTGAAATGTAAATGTATGAACTCTCCTGTTTTCTCCCAATATTTTCCGATGAGCCTTCTCAGTTCAAAATCCGTGCAAGACTGTTGGCAAAATGAGGATTGAATGCCGCAACTCTGTATTGCATTTATATTATCAATAAAATACTAACAACAATTGGAAACATAAATTGAAATGAAATGTTCATCCAGCAGTTTGCTGGCCTGTTTGCATTAAATTGGTGATTTTCTGTGGGACTCCTCCGGGGTGCAGCAGTTTGCTTGGGAGTTGAATAATCTTTCCGTAATGTTACCATCCATGAAGTAACTCAGTTGGAGAGATGAAAGATGGTATCATATTTGTATGACTTCTATTTTAAGTTAGTATGGGAAATATAAATCCATACTACATTAGCTCTGACTGTACTTCACATCTAGTGTTCATTTAAGATTTAAATGTTATCATTTCCACTTTGGCTAGTGTATTTTGTGGATTATGTTGAACAAACTCATGTTTAGATTCATATTATATCCTGAACAGAAAACAAGATCATCACATTTCACTATACTTTTATGAGAGATGCTTTCATTGTCTTGTCTTTTGGAGGTATTCTGGAAGTTCTGTGATATGTGATTTGTTTACGTGAGAAATGACAAATATAAACTTTGTATTTTCGTTAAGAAAAAATTTATTTTCTTGCTGAAGTTGATGTTGAGCTTAGTGGAAATAGATCATGATGGGATATTTTGACAAATTGAACTTCCATAAATTATGGCATATGTTTGGTAAAAGTTGTGGCATATGTTGAAATGTTAGCAAATACTGAAGTATTTGTTCTATTTCATTGACTTTTTTTGGCATCTTCTGCCTTTTAAAGAAAATTAAATGTTTGTGATGTACTGTCAAAATCAACTTTAGTCCTTATTTAAAATTCCCAGACTTTAAACTAAACTTTAGACAGCAAATGATCTTAGTTTATTTGTTTTATTGTTCAAAATGATTGAGCATGCTTTATTGCTCACTTCCCAAATTTATGTGGATGTCTTGTTGAAGTTTGTGCACTTAACAGAAGCACCTAGGAGTTTAAAGACCTAAAAATGTATTCTATTCTATGACACAATTGTGATGTTTTTTTCTTAGGTGTGGCATCCATGGTATGTTTCCCTTGCATTTAGCAGCATTGAATGCACATGCAGACTGCTGCCGGAAGTTACTGTCATCAGGCAAGTATATTAACAATATAGGACCACTTGAATTCTATCAATGATCATGGTTTTGTTCACTTGATTTATTGCTCAATGATTTCCTAGTCTCTTTGTTCTTTAATAGTTGCCCCATTATGATTATAATTCTGCATAGTGCATGGTTTTCCTGAGTAGCAATGTGTCATTAGCTGCAGTATCCTGTATTGTTTTAGAAATCAATGACTGATTTGTTTATCTTGGCACATGTTGAAACAATGCTAAATACTGGTAGCTGGCAATTGCCAGTTCCCACATGATACTTAAAAAGTGTCTTCTCTGCTAATGAGTAATTGCGAGTTGACTGGCTCGAATGTATTAATAAAGCGTTTTGCTAATCGTGCATTTATTTCAAAAGTAAGATATGCTGCTGCTGCTCCACCTAAGTATGGTCAAGGAGCAGAAATCTAGCCTGTTATTTAATATGAAAAGATTTTTAGCCCCTCTTTTCGTTGGAGGCAGAAAAACTGATTATGTACTCTCACTATAAAATGTTTACGTACCTAATACATGTAGCATGGAGTAGAAATTGAATAAAAACAAATGAAATTTAATTATATGCATCCAAATTATTTAGTACTTCAACTTGTATCCTGGAATAACATCTTAGCTTTGAGATTTAGGATCCTTTTTGAAGGAACCATTTGCTTGGGTAGCTTGTAAACCGTTGCCTATGCTAATTGACTTCTGTCTTTGCAACATTTCTTGCGGTCTACTAGGACAAAAATATAGCATAGTGTCATCATTTAGTAACGAGCACGTGCTGTCTGCAGGCTTTGAGATAGACACCCCTGATAATTATGGAAGGACTTGCCTTCATGCTGCTGCTGCAGGAGGGTGAGTTCAGTTTGAACAAGAATGCATTTCTCAAATATAATTTAATATTGTTTTCCTCTCAAATTGTTTTGTTCAATATACATTTAAATCCTGAATGTAATTTATATTTTTTTCATGGAATTCCTCAAATCTTTGAAGTAGTTGATTTTATTATTTACACTTGTTTTACTAACTTTCTGCCAGTTCAACATAATATTTTGTTCTCATTATCTTGCTGGTTAGTTTGTAATTTAGTTTGAATTTTGACTTTCTTGAGAGAATATTTTGTTGTACACCATTACACTCTAACACACCTTATGTTTCGTCACAGCAATGTTGATTGCATAAAACTACTACTGAGTAGCGGAGCGGATTTCAATAACAAGGACAAATGCGGGAGGTGTGTAACTTGTGCTCAACTTTTGTAATAAGTTCAGCAGTTACAGTTAGTTAGATTGTGGCTTTGCTGAGCACAGTAGCCAGCAGCGCATTTTTGTTTTATTTGTGTTTGCTTTCTCAACAGTTTAACAGTTTTCAATAGAGAGCATTTGAAAAACTTAATTGAAAATTCAAGGGTACATATACCCATACGTTTATTAATATTTGCTGACACAAGTTTGTGATAATTAATTTTGAATGTTGCAACTGAGATGTTTGATTTTATTTCCAAAGTTCCTTTAACAACTAGCTGATGTGGTCTGGTCAAAGTATGTTTTTTAAAAATTTTCTTGTGGTTTGGACATCCCTGAAATTGAGTCTAAACTCCATATTTATATGATATTTTGCAGGACTCCATTGCACTATGCAGCTGCGAATTGTAACTACCAGTCTATCATGACGCTAGTGTCAACAGGGGCCAATATTAATGAAACAGATGAACGAGGCTGCACTGCTTTACACTATGCTGCAGCATCTGATGTGGACAGAAAGTAAGAGCAGCTTTTTACGTGGCCTGAAGTTATAAGTTTATAACTATCCTGCTGCTAATGATTTCTGCATTGTAAACATGACAAATTAAGACTTCAGTGCTTGTTTAACACACATACATGAACTGACTTTGAAGTAGGCCTACTATAAATTTTTCACAGTTCATGGAGGCCAGCCCCTGTGATAAATTACTTCAAAGCTACAAAATTATTTAATCTATTGAATTAGGTCTTGGGTATTTTGTGATAATTATGGAATTGATTTGTAAAAATAGGGTATTATAGGATTAGAATAAGGAACTGAAATTGAAAGACATTTTACAAATTCTCTAAAATCTTTTTCTAACAACGGAGAGTGTAAGTTAACAATAGCTTTATTTTGAAATTTTCATTGATTTTAAGTATCCTAAACTACCTGAACATTTGAATTCCTCACCAAGGAAGAAAAGTATCTTGGCAAATTCGGATGCAAATGTTGAAGAACTTGAAGACACCAATGAGAAAAAAGAGAAAGAGGCCTCATTGTAAGTTGAAATTTTCCAGACATAATGGTTGAACTAAAACTTTTGTGATGGTTCTTACTGCTTGTTTGACCTTCAGTGCTACAATTTTCTTAGTTTTTAACTACAATTTGCTGTACATCAGGAATGGAATGCTTTGCTTTGAACTTCAACAGTGAAGGGTTTTCCTTTGTATCTGAAACATTCTTTGCTATGATAATATATTCTGCTGGTTGTTCACATTCATCTGAAATGGGTGCACTGCCAAATTGAGCAGGTTTATAAGGAAGTTAGTGCAATAGGTTCTGATTTAAAGTTGACTCAATTAACAGTGTTTCACTTTAATGTTTTTAACAAAATAGTGACATATTTATTTTGTGTTGAGTTTCAGTTTAACATTGTTTGCCAGACTTGTTCCCTGGCATACCTGTTTTCAAGCCCTTGCTTTCTGCCTTCCCACTCAGGGCACTTGGCCTGCAGTCTGTTCATACCCTCCCCTTAATTCGTCTTTACCGTTTCCCTCCCATTCCTACCCTACGTTGTTATCTTTGAAGTCTCCAGTGTCCGTTTCTGTTCTGCTGTCTGCACTGACTTCCTGGCTGCATCTAGTGGCAGAAGCCACCTGCACCAATCAACTACTGTCACTAGATGGAGCCTGGTCAATTCAAACTTCGTTAGATGAGTAGAATTTTAACATGTACCTGAATTTACAATACCTGTACTTGCCTTTAGATTGTGTTTTATCTTTATTTTTAAAAGTATTTTATTTTAAAAGTCACCTTGTTTATGATGCAGGTAGTTAGGAATGTACACCATTTAAATTTAATGTTAAGTTGTTTTCTACAGAAATCTTGAACTATGTAACTGCGCAGTGTTTTGTTTACGTTTTGTGATTTAATTCATTTATTTCAGCTGGGAGTGGACATGTATGGTATTGTCTTTCAACTTTCACGTTGTTTCCAAACAAAAAATCATCTGCAGAAACATAACACTGGCTTGAACATTGGTTCCTATGGGAAACCATGCTTCATTAAAAGTTGTGATTTTCAGTAATGCAGGCATGACTTTGAGAGGACTTGCTGTACCTTTTAATTGCCTCATTTTAGATTCATCTTTTAATGTTTTAAATGAGGATACCTTTAGATGCATGCATGTATCCATACACACAGTGTGTTATTAGTTAGCATACAGCTTCATTTCTTGTACTTATCGAGTTGAGTTCGGTGAAAATGGTATGAGTTTTCCTGCATCTGATTGAATACGATTGATCATTTACCCTTCTGTGATATTAAACGATTCCTCTCTGATGACCACTCATCTGAAATGTTCATTGATGCTTTTGTTAACTCCTACTTTGCCGTTTTAATGCACTCCTGTCTGGCCTTCCAAATTCTTCCCTCTATTAATGAAGTCATCCAAAATTCTGTTGTTCACATGCTAATTTGCAGCAATTAGCTTCAGATTTAAAACTCTTATCCTTATTTTAAAATCATTCTATGCCTTGGCCCATCATTATCTGTATCACCTATATCCCAGATCTCTCCAAAATGTTTGCACTCTAATTCTGGCCTTTAGAGCTTCTCCAGTTTTAATTGTTTTGTAGTTGGCCATATCTTCAGATGTCTAGGCCCTAACTTCTGGAATTTCTTCCTAAAATCTCTCTGCCTTTCTACCTGGTTTTTCTACTTCATGACATTCTTTGAAATATTTCTGTTTACATTTCAGTTTGGAATATCCCAAGTATGCCATGTTGTCTTACAGTGGACTGTGGGGGTTAGAAGACCTTTCTTCCATTTATTTGGATAATTTTCGCAGAGGCAGTTGTACTTTTGGACTTGTGTAGGATGGAATTCGCTGAATTAGAGGAACAAAATTAGATAAAAGCTGGTCAGGCAGACAAAATACTAACATAGCATTCGACATATGGTGACAGATTAGGCCTCAAACTGAGTTTGGAATTTGTGCAGGAGGAAGAAACTGGAAGATTTGCCTAGCTTGAAATGATAAGAAATCCACAGTAGTCTCACAGTGAAAGATAGTTAGCCTTGTGCTAGAGAACAGTCAGCTTCAACAATTAGCGAATTGTCATAGAGTCATACAATGCAGAAGATGTGCTCAGCTATTGACACTGTGCTGATCTATCTACACAAATCTCACTTGCCAGCTCTTGGCCCATTGGCTTAAATATTATGACAATTAAAGTGCTCATCCACGTACTTTTTAAAGGTGGTTTCTAGCCTCTACTACTCTCCGAGACAGTGCATTCCAGATCCCCACCACCTTCTGGGTGAAAATGTTTTTCTTCAAATCCCCTCTAAATTTCCAGCCTTTCACCTTAAAATTATGCCCCTTCTTGTTGACCCTTCAACAAAGCAGAACAGCTGCTTTCTATCCACCCTGTCCATGCCCCTCAAAATTGTATACACCCCAATCAGGTCCCCCCTCAGCCTTCTCTGCTCTAATGAAAACATATCCAGCCTCTGTTTAGAGCTAAAATTTTCCATCCTATGCAACGTCCTGATGACTTCCTCTGCATCTCCAGTGCAAACACATCCTTCCTATGGTGCAGTGACCAGAACTGCACACAGTATTCAGCTGCGGCTTAACCAAAGTTTTGTACAGCTCCAACGTGACATCCCTGCTGTTAGTCTGTTGCCATCACTAATAAAGGCAGGTGTCCTGTATGCCACCTTGACTATCTTATGAACCAGTCCTGCCCTCTTCAAGGAACTGTGAACAAGTGCTCCAAAATCCCTCTGCTTTGTGAACTTCCTAGTGTCCTGCCATTTATTGAGTACTCCCTTGTTACTTCTTCCAAAGCACATCATCTCAGACTTATGAAGGTTAAATCCCATCTGCCACTGATCTGACCAACCCTGCCTACATTTTTGTGTAATCTAAGACCTTCTTCCTGATGATTAACTACTCTGCCCAATGTTCGTAACACTTGCAAAGTCACTTATGTGCCCCCACCCCCAAACTTCTTCAGATACATGTTCTCATCTACATATATCGCAATGACCCAGCAATGATCCGTGTGGTACATCACTGGACACTGACCTCCAGTCTCTCTCAGCATTCTGCCAGCATCCACCATCTCCTATCACTAAGCCAAGCTTGGATCCATCTTGCAAGTTACCCTGGGTTCCATGTGTTTTTACCTTTGTCAGTCTCCCATGTGAGACTTTGTAAAACGCTTTGCTGAAATCCATATAAGCTACATCAACTCCATCATTGATGCACCTGATTGTACCTCAAAATTCAATCAAATTTATGAGACGCAACTTTCCTCTAACAAAGCTATGCTGCACAGAGGCTTTTGGAACAGTCTTGGAAAAAGTAGTATATGTACATTTAAAACCAGGACAAGAAGTTGAAGAATCCACAATCTGAGATATTTCAAGAAAAGTTGGAGAGTTGCTTAGCCACAACACAGTGGAAGGAATTCATGAATTCTGTACCTTGGAGAATAGCTGGAACACTGAGGGAAAATTATGTGAATTTAGAGGTTTACTGTATACTTAGTGTTCAGTTCCAGAAGGAGTGAATGAATTTCCAAGAGGCTTTGAACAAATAAGGGATCTCTTTAGGGAGGCTGTTTGTAATTTTCTGAAGTGATCATTGTGCATTTGGATTTCTCTTTTTAAATGTTTTATCATTTTGGTAGGGATTATTGAGGTGTTAAGTTAGGTGAAAGAAATGACTTGCAAACTAAACTTTTCTTGATTATGGATTCACAGCATTTAACAACTGATGGGTTTGCACGACGATGGCTAATATTGGAAATTAAAAATTTTCATCGATATAATAAAGATACCATTCTGATGTCTGTTAGCTGGATGGTTGGTTTTCATGCAGAGTGATGCCAACAGCATGGGTTCAATTCTTGCACTGGCTGAGGTTACCATGAAGGTTCCACCTTCTCAAGCTCTCCCTTAAGGCCTGATTATCCTCAGGTTAAAGCACCATTAATGAGTCTCCCTATTGAGACTGTGGTGACGTTACATTGCTGATCTGATATTGGAAGTTAACGTGTGTTGGAAAATGGTACTGTAGGAGCACTCTTGGTCATTTTGTATTTGCATGGAAATGTGTGCTGATAACATGGACTACAAAGTGTACAACAGCACTAACTTACCTTGCAATTAAATGGTCCAAAGTGACCATTTCCTACATTAAATGTGGGCAAAGAACCTGGACAGTATAATTTTAATCTGAGCATCTAAACAGGCAAAATACGAACCCATATTGACCCTTAATCAAGAAAGTCATTCCAATTGATTCTTGAATCGAATCATCCACAGTCAGCCATGTAGCAAAAGAACAGCCAGACATAATTCAAGTGATTGCTTAAAGTTACTTAGTTGCACGCACTATAAAAGCTCTGAATATTGCTGACAGCCTACCATTAAGACAACTTGTTGCACTCTGTTCTCTCAGGTCTAACCCTAACTTTATTATGAAACCTGTTGACAAGTGTGCTGTCTGTGGCATGCCAGTCTCTCTTTCGCAGAGGTTGAGCACCAACTTTCAGACACTTCGTCCTACTGGACCATGACCCCAGCACTGAACACCAAGCTATTGTTTCACATACTATCTCTAAGCTAATCTTCTCTGTAAAGCTCTCCTCCACAGCTTCCCATCTCAACCACCCTCTCAAGCCCCCTTCTACCTTTTTTCCCAAATATCTGCAAATAAGTTTGTTCTGGTAAATCTATCTTTTCTGGTTGTTGCTTTCTTACAGATCTTATTTATTCCTATCTTAACCAATTTTTCCCCTGCTTTCAGTCTCTTACCATTTACACTCATGATTCCTCTGATATTTTCTGGCCAATTCCATAATTTCCAGTCTTCTGGCCTCATTCGTCACCTCTTTGCCATGGACATGCAATCCCTCTGCGTGTGCTCCTCCACCAGGACACTATGATAACTGTTCCTTCATTGAGAGGAGGCCTGAACAGTCCCCATCCATCACCATATTCCTTCTCCTCTGCTTTGAACAGTTCCTCCTTTGACTCAAATGCAAAATACTGCAGATATTGGAAATCTGAAACAAAAACAGCAGCATTTGTGGAGAGAGGGTTTCTGAGGAAGTGTCATGTCAGGCCTGAAACATTAATTCTGTTTTTCTCTCTCTGCAGATACTGCAGGATCTGCTGAGTTGCTCCAGCATTTTGTGTTTTTCTCTCCTTTAACTTGCTCCACTTTCTCGAAGCCAAAAATGTGATTTTGGATCTCTGAGTTAAATGGAATGTTCTTCCCTTCTCTTCTTCACTTCTATATTTCCATTTCTGAGGATAGACTGTTCACCACTACCGACTCCCACAGCTGCCTTGACTACTTTTCCTCATGCACTGTTTCCTGTAAGGACTCCATCCCATCTTCCCAGTTTTGCTGTCTCTGTTGCATCTGTTCATAAATCAGGGACCCCAGTTGTATTCTTCAACATGCTGGTTACATATTCAGTTCTTTTTTGTAGTAGGAGCTAGAGAAATGAATAACAACTTATTGACCTGTAGGGTGGCCTACTTTGTATTTGGTAGTTTCTGTTATGAGAAAGCTGAGCTCTTTGTCGTCCTTTAGTAATTTTCTTTTGTCCTTTTTATTATAAATATTTAGCTTATAAAAGTTATTTCAGTAAGCTATGCACTTCTTTAATCATAATTTTTAATTTAAATGGTCTACAGGTCAATATTCCTGAGAGCTGCAATGTCATTTTGCGTTGACACATTTGATGTTGTCAGTGCAATTGTGACTTTCTAGTGTTTGGCTAAGTTCAGATGACCAGTGTGCAGCCTGAATAAATTGGACTTTAGCAGCACTACTGTGATGTGGGATGGGTGGTGGTGAGGATAGATAGGTCAGGTGAATTTCTTTACTGAATTTTTGCAATGTAGCCAGGTCTTCACAAAATATAAACTGTGAATATGTTTGAAGAGATGAATGTATCTGCCAATTGGAAATTGTATTAATGTTAAGCAGGAATGATGCTACAAGGTGGGGATGGAAGAAAGGATGAGATAAGAGGGAAAAATAGAACACTGATTAATTCCAAATCTTTTGTCAAATGTGTTACAGCTGTTTGCAGTATTTACTTCACAATGATGCCAATCCAGCAATACGAGACAAGCAGGGTTATAATGCAGTTCACTATGCTGCTGCATACGGGCATAAGCAATGTCTGGAACTGGTAAGCGATATAACTTATATCCCATGTAATCTCTTCATTCACCAAAAAATTTGCAAAATTTATTGCAACCTAAAATTGTCAATTTACTAAAGTTGGTATGGATTGTTTGACTGAGCTGAGAGCAATACAATGCATTTAGGATGGATACAGATACATTTGTGATGTCTGTTTATACTTTCAACCTGAGGCTTTTTTTCAATAAGCTTTTTTAAACACTACATTATGTTCTCAAAAACAATTGCTATCAAAGCACTTTGGTGCAAGTGGTCATAATTCTATTAATTTTAAAATAGTTATGGAAAAGGATAGAACTGATCAAAAAGTTAAGGCCCCAAATTGAAGTAAGGTCAATTTTGACAGTATTATTTGACAGGAACTTTCAAAAGTTGATTTGGAGAGGCTATTCACAGGTAAAGGAAGGATTAGGAAATGGGAGGCCTTTAAAAATGAAATAGAGAGATCACAGACAGTATGTTCCTGTTAGTGTAAAGCGCAAGGCTGGTAGGTGTAGGGAATGCTGGATGACTAGAGAAATTGAGGCTCTTGTCAAGAAAAAGAAACAGGCATGTATCAGATATAGACAGCCGGCATCAAGTGAATCCCTACAGGAGTATAGTAGGACTAGCTTTGGCAAATAGTGTTATCGAGAACCCAAAGAGGTTCTATGAATATATTAAGGGCAAAAGAGTAACTAGGGTGAGTATAGGGCATCTGAAAGATCAATGTTACCATCTATGTGTAGTACCACAGGAGATGGGTGAGATACTAACAGAATATTTTGCATCAGTATTTACTGTGGAGAAGGACTAAAATACTTCGGGAAATAAATAGTGATGTCTTGAAAAAAGTTCATATTACAGAAGAGGAGATGCTGGAGGTTTTAAAACATATAAAGGTAGATAAATCCCTGAGAACTGATCAGGTGTTTCCTAGGACTTTGTATCATCAGCAGTTACTGGTGAGATGCAGGAAGACTGGAGGTTGGGTAACATAGTGCCAACTTTTAAGGAAGGCGGTAAGGAAAAGCCAAAGAACTGTAGACCGATGACCCTTACATCAGTGGTGGGTAAATTGTTGGAGGAGATTCTGAGGGATAGGATTTACATGCATTTAGAAGGACTGATTAAGGATAGTCCGCATGGCCTTGTGCATGGGTAATCGTGTCTCACGAACTTGATTCAGTTTTTTGAAAAGGTGACAAAGAAGATGGAAGGCAGAATAGTAGACGTCTATACGGACTTCAAAAAAATGTTCGACAAGTTTCCTCATGGCAGACTGGTTACTAAGGTTAGGATCCAGGGGAAGCTAGCCAATTGGACACAGAATTGGCTTGAAAGCAGGATACAGAGGGTGGTGGAGGGTTGCTTTTCGGACTGGAGGCCTGTGGCCAGTTGCCAGCGCTGTGCTACAAGGATCAGTGCTGGGTCCACTGCTTTTTGTTGTTTATATAAATGATTTGGATGTGAATATAGGAGGTATAGTTGATAAGTTTGAAGATGACACCAAAATTGGTGGTGTAGTAGACAGTGAAGAAGGTTATCTCTGTGTACTATGGGACTTTGATCAGATGGGCCAGTGGGCCGAAAGGTGACAAACGGAGTTTAATTTAGATAAATGTGAGATATTGCATTTTGATAAGGCAAACCAGGGCAGGGTTTATGTAGTTGACAGGGCCCTAGGGAGTGTTGCTGATTAAAGAGACTTAGGCGTGCAGGTTCATAGTTCCTTGAAAGTGGACTCGCAGGTAAAGGCAGGGTTTGGCATGCTTGCCCTCGTTGGTCAGAATGTTGAGTATAGGAGTTGGAATGTACAGGACAGTGGTAAGGCCACTTTTAGAATACTGCGTACAATTCTGGTCGCCCTTCTATAGGAAAGATGTTAAAGTTGAGAGGGTGTAGACACGATTTTAGAAGGATGTTGCTAGGAGGGTTTGAGTTGTAGGGAGAAGCTGAATAGGTTAGAGCATTGGAGCTAAGGGGTCACCTTATAGAGGGTTTATAAAATCATGAGGGGGTATGGATAGCGTGAATAGCCAAGGTCCTTTCTCCTAGGGTGGGGGAGTCCAAAACTAGAGAGCATAGGTTTAAGGTGAGTGTGATCAGATTTAAAAGGGGCCTGAGGGGTAACATTTTCATGCAATGAGTATGGAACGAGCTGCCTAAAGAAGTGGTGGAGGTGGGTACAACTACAACATTTAAAAGGCATCTGTATGGGTATATGAATAGGAAGGGTTTAGAGGGATATGGGCCGAATGCTGGCAGATGGGACTAGGTTAGATTGTAACGTCTGGTCGGCGTGGACAAGTTGGGCCGAAGGATCTGTTTTCGAGCTGTATGACTCTAAAAGCAAACCATTAGTCTACATTATAAGCTTGATATTGCTTTATTTCCATTGGTTGAGACTTTTTATTTAAACTTAATTTTTCTTGAACTGTTAAAAGTCTACCTAGTACAAAGGAATATATCTGTTTACTTCTATTTTTCACGTGCAAATATGTTCCGCGTGTCATTAACTGACAATAATCACATTAATATCTTGATATGTTTTACAATGTCTCATGAAATGTAGAGTCTTTCTTTCAACAAGTGTTTCAGGAATAAAAAAAAAAATTCTTAACAAGTAGAATATCTAAATAAATGCTTTTGAGCAGCACTTTGAAAATGTTTTAAAATTACATTGTGTGTCATCTCTTGATCTTCCCAAATGCTACAGAAATTAGTTCATAAGAGAATCTCAAATTTAGTAACTGTTACTTATTTTGTGTTTATATTATGTTAGGCACCTTCACTTGCACCAAAAAGGATCAGTACAATTAACCATTTTTGTAGAGACCCTTGTATTCTCCTGCCTTGCTATCTTTTGAGAAAGAATGATCACGTAATTGAATAAATTGAGAATGTGCAGAATTTGTAAGGGTATATTGAAACGTTTATATTTAAAAATTTAGACCCTTCAAATGAAAGTTTTGAAATCTGAGCCATTTCATGTTGATAATGTGCATTCTTGCCATATGTTGCAGTTTCAAAAGTACAGAATTGAAATTCAATTGAGCCCTACTGAGAGCCTGATTGAACACTCCCAACTTTTCAGAAGTATTCAGACAGCAACAAAAGTTCCAGATTTATTTCTTGTGTGTGAATTTCTCTTTTAGAACCTGCTGCAACTGGATTTAAAAGTAAAGGAGCTAGAAAGTCATTTGACATTCTGTGGTTGAGAACTCATGTGAAACTATGTATGAAATGCATGTAAAAGCTAAACTTGTATTCTTGCATTGCTGAATAGCTGAAAAACAGTTGTTAGTAGCAAGAGTATATTGGAAATTAATACACAGTTCTTAATAACTCAGTGTCAAATTGCATAGCAATCCTTGCCAAGAATGCATGAAGAGCAATATGCAGTATTTGTACATTTCATTGTCCTATTCTAAAGAAATTAATGAACATTTGTATTTTAAAATGCATTTTTGTGTATTACCACATAGAATTAACTTTATAATAAATATGTCTGGAATGTACATTTTGGGATTTTATAATTGCTAAAGATGCCTTGTAAATATTACATGGAGTTGATTCTTCAGTGTCAAGTTTGTCTTTCAAAACGTCCCCAATTTGTTTGAACTTAAGAATCTGGGAAATAGGTGTAAAAGTAGACCATATGGTCCTGAACGCTGTTCGATTCCCAGAGAGATTGAAGAAAAGCCATGATTATGCTCGTTCATGTAGCAGCAACAACCCAATGTGGTAGGGAATTCTAAAGTACTACAACCTTCTGACTGAAGGAATTTTTTTTGTCATACAGACACAGAAAATTAGAGCAAGAGTAGACCATTCAGCCCTTCAAGCCTGCTCCACCTTTCAATATGATCATGGCTGATTCAATTTCATATCCTGTTCCCACTTTCTCCACACAGCCTTTGATCCTTTGTAGCCCCAAAAACTATTCACAGCTCCTTGAAAATGTTCAATATATTAGCCTCAACCACCTTCTGTGCCAGAAAATTCCACAGGCTTCCCATTCCCTGCTCCTCATCTCCATTGTAAAGGGCTTACCCCATAACCTTAAACTGTGACCCTGATTCTGGACTCCCCTGTCATTGGGAACATCTTTCACATATAGATCTTATATAAACGCCTCCCCCACCACCCATTCTTCTAAACTACAATGAATATAGACCTAATTGATCTGGTCTTTCTTCATTTGTCAAGTCTTGCAATATCAGGAATGAGTCTGGTAAACCTTCATTGCACTCCCTCCGTAGCCAAAACATCCTTCCTCAGATAAGCAGACCAAAATTGCATTCAGTACACCAGATGTGAACTCACCAAGGCTCTGTACAATTATAGCAGGACATCCCTGCTCCTGTATTTGAATATTTTCACTAAGAAGATCAACATACCATTTGCCTTCCTTACTGCTTGCTGCACCTGCATGTTTATTTTAAGCCACTGGTGTACCAGGACACACAGAAGTCTCATTGTGCACACATGCACACACCCTCCCCCCACCTCTTCCCTAGCTGGAATCCAGACATTGACCCCTATGGTATCCCACCAGACAAATACCCTGGAATGGAGATTTTCAGGCCTTTGGGATTTATCAAACTTTAACACCACCAACCTCCCCAAAACCATTTTCCAACTAATATTGATTCCGTCCTGTTCCTCCCTGCTGCTTTACCATGCATTCCTCAACCTTTTTGGGACCTTATTTGGGTCCTCCTTTGTGAAGACAGAACCAACCCATATATCCAATTAGTCTGCCATCTCTTCAATTACCCCATTATAAATGGAAGGTTTGAGTTGTAAGGAGAGGCTGGATAGGCTGGGACTCCTTTCCTTGGAGCACAGGAGGCTTTGGGATGGCCTTTTTACAGATTTATAAAATCATTAGAGGGCATAGGTTTCAGGAGAGAGGGAAAAGATTTAAAAGGAACCTGAGGGGCACTTTTTTTGCGCAGAGGTTGGTGCATATATGGAACAAAATTCCAGAGGAATGGCAGA